AATATGTAACATTTGTACATTTATATTACACAACAGGAAGCAATGGACAGAAGTAACTATAATATAAATATCACCAAAGTTTTGTTATATAAAGTATTACACCCAACTTATATAGCAGTAACAAATTGTGTCGACTGGGCAGTTAACGGGTATAGTGTCTAGAGTTTATTTATATAGTATTTAACACTACAAAAGGTGTGATATCACCCAAAAACTTACCTTTTTAAAAAAGGTAAGAAATGCACCAAGTATAAGCTCCAATGTTACTCTATCTCTTCTGCAAAAGTATCTTCTCTACAAAAATATCTTTCCTGCAAAAGTATCTTCTTTACAAAAATATCTTTCCTGCAAAAGTATCTTCTTTACAAAAATATTTTTATAAAAATATCTTTCCAAAAATACCTTTTCAAAAATATTGTCTCTACAAAAATCTCCTCTACAAAAGTAATGATATCATCAACAAATTACGCCAAATATAACAATGGATATTTATATATGTATGTAGCGTTCCTCGCGGAGAATCAGAGGTGTTCTCTCGTTAAATGCTTTTGGTCGCCCTGAAAAGGGCGGTTTGTGTGTGTCGCCCTGAGAAGAGCGGTTGCGAGTCTTCTTCGGGGATGGTCTCAAGTCTGTGATCCGCCCGGTGTCGGACCTTCTGGCGGCGGCACGTTCTCCTTTTCCTCCTTCTTCGTCGGCTTTGTCGGAGAGGGTCCGAAGAGGCTATCCAGTTGCCGGCGTAACCTCTTGGAGGACTTCTTCCTGCGGCCGGGCGTCCGCGGCCGACCGACGGGTGTACGCGGAGGGGGGCTGTCTAGGCCTGCCGTGCTCTGCGTTCCTCTCGGTGAGGATGGTTGCGCCACGTCCCCAGGCACGACCCGAAATTCGGCTGAATCCTGCGGGGTCGTCTGAGTGGCAGCGTCGACGGTGGCAACACTGCAGTGGACTTGGGTTCCCTGCTCTCGGAACCGGGCTCCTAAATTTACAATCGGCTGGAGTCTCCACGGGACGTAACTGTGTCCACGTATCGGTGGAGGTATAGGCCTCTGGCGCAGTCGTGGATCCGATGGTGGTCCGGGATGCGACGGTGGCAGAGGCGGTACGCGCTCTGGGCTTCCTGGTGGACGTCCTGGTGGTGGGACGTCGCGGGTTCGTCGCCGGACTCGTGGCAGGATCCCTTCGTGGTGCCAAGGCCCTCAGGAGCTCTCTTGGGGTAGAGGTCGAGGCCCGTGGAGCTCGCTCGAGGAAGTGGTCGAGGCCCAAGGGGCTCACCCGGTGATGATACCAAGGCCTAGGGAGGCTCGCTCGGCGATGATACCGAGGCCTAGGGAGGCTCGCTCGGTGATGATACCGAGGCCTAGGGAGGCTCGCTCGGTGATGATACCGAGGCCTAGGGAGGCTCGCTCGGCGGAGATACCGAGGCCTAGGGAGGCTCGCTCGGTAAGAATCCAAGGCCCGAGGGGCTCGCTTGGATGAAAATAATCGAGGCCCGTGGGGCTCGCTCGAGGAAATACTACAGACGACTACTGGCACTCGCGACTCGTCTCCGACGAGAAACACTTATTGAATTTTCGTCGCCGCCGGAGGTCTTAATATACCCATCGCCACTGAATTCTGAATGCGAGTATGCTGCCGGCGCTGTGTCCACCTATCGGCGGCGCGCCGTACTACCGCCGCGCGCCGTGTCGTCGGCGCTCGCAGGAGCGGCGCCGTGACGTGTGGTGCCCGCACGCCTGATGTGGCGTAGGTCGCCACATGTATAACGCGTATCTTTCTTCTACCGTAACCATTCTGTAAATACATCTCATTCGGGCAATAACGTATCGACAGCACCGATGAAAAGAATAGCAACTGTTTAGAAATTT